CGAAAAACATAATTCTTGCTTGTTTTTTAATTTGTAAACAAAAGTAAAGAAATTCTTACCTGTTTGTTCCAATCGTTAACTATTGTGGTAAACCATATAATGTCTTTGTATTATACGGAAGATTGATAAAGAGAAATGGTGATGCATTAACAAAATGATTCACTTTTGTAATTCGTGGCATTTTACATATTACTTTTAGACTAAAAGTTCATAATACATTCACCATAGGAAGAAGTATAATTCCGAATTAGTTGTCTTACACTTTTCTTTTTGCTTTTGTGTCAACATCTTCTACGATCATTTCGTTCCATCCATAAACTCCCGTATAATGAACTGGACCACCTGTATAAGAATCGGTAATATTTTGACCACATTCAGCGGTACGTTCTTCTTGAAATTCAATTAGTGTCTGTGGAAATTTGTTAAAATCATCTTTGATGCAATAGAATAAAAATAGTTTGAGCAGTAGAAGCTAATACTATTGGTCATAGTATTAAGTTCTGAACAGAAATGTGTTAATATCTGTTGTTCGCTGTGGACTGATTTTGATCTTCTTTATTGAGCCAAAACACAAGAGCAGTGCAAGAGCAGTGGTTATCTTTTAATAACTTTGCATCAAATAATGATAGAGACTTGTGGTTTTCATCATTCGATAGACAAAACTTGAGACTATATTTCCACAAGCAAAGCCGATTTTCGGAAAATTTTCGAAGCTGGTTTTCCAGCGAATTATTGAGAAACTAGCTTAGTTTTTCCGAAATTCAAATAGAAATCTATTGATCTATGGGGCATATATATATACTGAAGTGTCCTCTACAAAACTGGATCTACGTGACATCTTGAAACCTATGGTTCGGGAGCTATGGACGTATTTCTTATAACCTTAGCACTCCTCTGCCATTAGGCTTGGGACTGCGGGAAATGAATGAAAACATAGGTTATCGGCTATGCTGAATCTTGTGGCAATGTTAGATTTCAGAAAAAAAATGCAAGAATTGAGTAAAATCCTATACTAAGTGAAATAACCCATTTTTGATTATTTAGACCAAAAATTAAAAAATTCATAACTCAGCCAAAATCCATCCTACCTACTTCAGAATGTCAGAAAATACTCTGTTTTATCTAGAGCATACAGTAACGCTCGCTAAATGTTGAGAAAACCAACAGAAAATACTTTGGTTTCTAGAAAGGTTTCCCAGAAACCTCCGAAACTGAAAGAATATGATATGATAATGGAAGAATTGATTTTACGTACAGAATCAGAATGAGCGGATTAAACAGAGTATTTTCTGATATTCTGATTGACACTAGCATGATTTTTCCAAGTAGTCAATGAAAAATAATACTGCTTAAAAAGAAAATTTTTGAAGTTAGTTTGATGATATTAACTTAGTTACGAATTTTTTAATTTTTGGTGTAAATAATCAAAAATGGGTTATTTCACCTAGTATAGGGTTTTACTCAATTCCTGCATTTTTTTCTGAAATCTAACATTGCCACAAGATTCAGCATAGCCGATAACCTATGTTTTCATTCATTTCCCGCAGTCCCAAGCCTAATAGCAGAGGACTGCTAAGGTTATAAGAAATACATCCATAGCTCCCGAACCATAGGTTTCAAGATGTTACGTAGATCCAGTTTTGTAGAGGACACTTCAGTATATATATACAGTACTTGTCAAAAGTACCGACCCCCCTCCTGTAACTTAAGAACCATGATAGCTAGAGACTTCTAATTTTGTGTGGGCATAGCTCTTATCGAATGCTGATCACGCACCAAGTTTGGACCACTTTTACTAGATAGTTCGTGAGATATAGGCGATTTATCTCTTTTTCGTACAATATCAATAGCTCCTGACCTAAGAGAGATGAAAACTTTTTCTTTTTACTAAAATGTAGCCACGACTCTACTCTATCTGCAGCATAATATTTTGTAAGTTCGTGT